TACTATACTATATATATATATATATATATATATATATATATATATATATATATATATATATATATATATATATATATATATGCAAGAAACAGACGGAGATGAAGTAAATAATCGGAGAGAGTATGTGTAGGTGGGGAACATGAGAAAAGTGCTTCACAGAATAAATGATATGGGTTCACGGAAGTATTATGTTTGGTTCAAAATTCAGAATGTTTTAGACTTTTATGTCAATTTTCAATTCACTTCTTACTTCTAGCTGTGAACAAACGATGGAATAATGTAGTACCGATCTATTTTTCTGAACAAGCTTTGTTGTGCTTGTTCATTTTCAGTATACTTGACCACTTACACTCTAAGAAAGCAAAGAAGAAGATCAACTTAAAAGAAGCATTCGTGCAAAGAGAGATGAGCACTATTAAGTTGGTTTAGCTTAAAAGACTTGGCATAAATCATACTTTGATAAAAAAAGTTCTGGAAATGTAAACTAGAGACGAATTTTCATTTCGTGGCTCAAGTCTCTCAAAACGTAGCTCGTTTCTTGAAACTTTTTTCACTTGATTTATTTCACAAAAGTGTGAAGATAGTTTGTTATTAGGCATAGATCCGTAAGGAAGGTGCTCGAAATACATCTTAAAAATGTAAATATAATTTTTGCTTCAATCCAAAGTTCTACTCACATTTGAAATATATTTTTTAATCATAAGTCACTTTGTTTGTTAATTTTTTAATTTAAAGAAAGAAAACCTTTCACTTCTTGGGAACATAATTTGAAAATCTCTTGTAACCGGCAGTTAATCATCTCATTATTTCTTGAAACATTTGGTAACTCATCCTTAAAAATCTTCAAACGAAAGCTAAGGTTGAATTTAATATTTCCAAATGGAAGATGTACGGTGAAGGGACGATTAAGGGAGTTGAGTAGTTAATTAATTAAACACATATCACCAGACTATCCCTTAGCTAGCTATCCCTAATATCTGAAATGATAGCATTACGGAGTTTATATATCAGAAAGATGATAACAAGTCAGTTTTGGGTTTAATCGTGTACTTCTTGTAGCCATAAGCAGCTAAAATACACGCATAAAAGTATTTTTTCAATTTCTAGGTCATTCAAAATCCAGTTTATCAAATATATGCCACCATTATTGCATTTTATGGCCCGACATGTATCATGATAATATTATATGCAAAAATGTGGTTGGCTGCTAAACGATTAGCTGAACGTGAGCGTATATTGACAGCTGGAACAAATGGAAATGTTAATGGTATCAGCCTTGCCAAACCGCATGGTCCAGCTAGTCTAAGTAATCCGTCAAATCGGAGTAATCGTCAACATCATTGTCATCATCATCGCCCCTCTGTTATTTTACAAAAAATACCAATGGTACGCTTTTTGTTGTTTCAAGTAGTCCTTTCATTTTCGATTAAAATTTGTAGAAGCATTTGGAAGTTATAGAAATAATGGACTTCAGATTTCAATCAAGTTGTTTTAAAAATTTCCACTTCAATTGAATTCTAGTCTCAGTAAAATTCCCTCATTTTCTACAATTGCTCTCACGCAGTCAATCTAAATTGCAAACAGTAGCAACAACGGAACTCCACGATATGATGGAGAAGTAACACAGTCAAGCCATTACAAATGCTTACTGATTTACCTACCTAGCATTTATAAGCATTTTACTGATCGCGTTCTTAACAAACTTCATTGTCAGATTTTTGCCAATCAAAATATAAGATGTGCTCATAAGTATTTTTAAGATACCATAAACTTTGCTATCTCGAAAATGTACCACCAAGATGAAGAAAGAGTCTCGACGTCACCTTCGAGATATTTCAAGCATTCTAAGATGATTTCCTGAGGAATATTACCATGGTGATCCTATCAACTTTTAAGCTAGACAAGACTAAGATTTTTGTTAAGAATCTATTATCAGGAAAACTAGCTTTCCAGATGCATACCAATAAATTTTATGAAAAAAGTGAAGGAAAAGCACGTAAGACGCTTGGTATGATGATGAGTGTTTTTGTGATATGTTGGTTACCATTCTTTCTCTTGGCACTTTTGAAACCTCAAGGACTGTTGCCACCAACTTGGTTGGATCATCTGGCACTTTGGCTTGGTTATTCAAACAGGTTTGTTGGCCGTTTTATTTTGCTACTAATATTTTTATTGAAGAATTCACTGTCTTGCAAATCTAACTAGTAAGTCTAGAATCACATGGGTATAGATAAAAAGTGTTTGAAATTACGTTTCGTTTGGGAATTACAACTGCACCATACAAAAAGGTATGATAGGTTCAGAAAAGGAAAGAAAAACGTTAAATATGCTTGAACCAATGAGATAAAGAACGATTTGCAGAGGTGGCAGAACCCAAAACATAGTTACCCTCTCTGCTCTATTCGTGATTTCATGCTGAAAATAACATTTTCAGCCTAATGAATCCGTTGATTTATTGTAAACATAATCGTGAATTTCGTATACCTATCCGCGAAATGCTGTGCTGCCGTTTTCGTACTTTGCACTCTGTAATGCGGAAAGAAAGTTTTACGAGTAAATATGGCCCTTCAAGGTAACAACAGAAACTTTTGTTTAAAACGAGCTGAAGACCTTTTTCCCTTTACTCAACAGACCATACGAACCATTTGAAAGAAAAAGAAATTGGGTTTGAAGGAATGGAACCACTCACTTTTCGTCTTCAAAACTGATGGACTAGCAAAGGTTCCAAGCGGTAGTTGATGTACTCTTGAAGCTTACGAAGAATGGACTTATAGTCGTCAAAATTTGAGGTCATGGTTGTGATTGGACAAACGTTTTCCCAAGAAGTAACCATAATTTCAGACTTCGAGCAATACAAAGCACACCGATGATACTGAAATCTGCCATTTGAAAAAAAAAAGGAAACATTGGACAATGAGTAGTAATTACGAGCCAATTTAAAATTTTATGAACATAATTTGACAATTTAGTTAATTGTGTCCTACATACATTTTTCCTATGCAGATTCGTTTTTTTTTAATTATACTAGCGTTACTTTCATGCTATCAATTATGCCGGTATGATTTTGAATCCGATCTCAGCGAAATATATTTTTCCATTACTACCAATTGTTACCATTGCTTTTTTGGGCGAAAAAAAATCAGTTCCATTAGAAATCGTGATTTCCAATGATACTCTATACATAAAGAAGAAGCCGTTAAATAGGATTTGGATTAGTTATGCTTTATGAACAACAAATGTTTTACTGCTCCCATGTACAATTTCCCTAGAAATCTGAAACCTCTTAGAAGTTTTGAATGAGATTTTACATAGGTCTGGAAACATAAAAACAGACTCAGGGAATTAATAGAATGGTAAGTGATCCTTCTAAAGTTATTTAATGCAGGACAACAAAAACTACCTTTTTGTTCTACCGATCAAGGAATATCATCAGCAATAAGAATATTCACAGACTAAAGAATTAGAGATAAAAGACGACTCTTACTTCCCTGTGGTTGAATTATGTGGGTCTCGATTAATTAATTATGACCAACATTTATTTCAGTCATCCTTCAAATAGTACTTGAAAAACGCATATATTTTCGCAGATTTCCCGGAAATAAATCGTCATTGTAAACTTATTCCCAGAGATTAGGAACCGGAGAATTATAATCAATTAATCAATAAATCAAAGGAATTTCTTTTTACAAATAAAACGATTCCATCTGGTTATCATCAAGAACCGTTCTCGTTATGCCCTCCAATATCTGCTCATAACCAGTAATTTAAAGTTACTTGGAGCTACGACTTATCCACGTAAAAATTAAACATCAGCGATGAACTATTTCTTTGGTAGCGCATTAAATCAATATACAGATGAATAATTATTGACAGCGGCATGAGCAACAAGCAATTCAGCAACGAAGCGTGCTTCAAGATGTGTTCGTACATCATTTATCCAGTCACGTGCTATAAATCTTGCTGGACCCGTCAAAAGTTGTAGAATCCGTACCGCCGAATTCAAATCCCCTTCCGCGACAAAACTTTTTGCTCTTGATAGTATTTCATATGAATCCAATGTCATCGGATCAAATTTTGCCTGAAATATATAGCGATAAATTTAGGGCTTCGGATTTAGCCTTGACAATTTATTCATTTTCATCTTCTACGTAACTGGAACTGAAGTGACATGAATCAATCTCATATCTCTTCTTAAGTGATAGAAAAAAGAGGCTGGCGACCATCTCATAAATCTCATAAAATAAACCATTAGGTGGAAGTTCATCTTAAGACCAGACTTCAAGAAGGACTTCGTTACCATTTTTGAAAATTTCCCAGGAGGATCGAAGGACATCGCATTCTGCAAACATGATAAACCATACTGGAATACCCCAACATTGTTTTCATCCATTTTGGCTACTCGGCGACAGATTTTATATAGCTGAAAGACTGAGTGTAAAACATATATAGATGTGAGATACAAGATATGAATTACTTGCAAAAAATCCAAACAACCACCTTACTGAATCTTGCCTTCAAATCTTCTTCAGTATATACACCATTATATATTGTTTCATCTGGAAGTGCATTAACCAGACACGCCACAAATTCATCATTACTGTCAGCTTCTCGAATCATTTGAAGCTATAAAATTTCTTTCCATGGAAGAAGCTTATAGAAGATTATTCATGATTGTAATTGAGTCATTAAAAAAAAGCAATAATACGATTACCTCAGCTGCCAGTGGTTTACGGCGTGCATCATCATCAGTACCACCTCTTCGTCCATGTATCACGGAATCGATCAAATTATGGGACAGTATCCATATTTGCTTAGCACGGCGATTTTCGATATCCTTCAGAAATTTGTAATCGTCAGAGACAAGTGATTGTCTTTTTTGTAATTATTTTGAAAACAAGATTTATAATTTACCCCGTTTCTAGATGTGTTTGAATCATGAATGATAAGCAGTGATTAGCTAGTCAAGTACAACAAAACAAACACTAACAGTTTAATCTGCGAATGGTAGTTGATGAAATAGTTGCGCATTAAACAAGATTGACAAGTAGTAGGTAAACTTAATACGGAAATGCATTTCATTTATCATAGAGTTAGAAGATTTCTCTAAGCATTGAATTTATCGATTAAAAATGTGCTGGCAGTTCTTTCTCATTACAAAAACTGATTTTTTCATAATTTCCGGAGAAAAAGTACCTGTGAAGTTCGTGACTTTAAGGCAGTTTCGATCCCCTCTAGTTTACCCTGTGCGGCTGCTAACTCCTTGCTAAGTTGAGAACGCTCTTCGATAATCGCCCCTTCTATCTAAAATAAGCTCAAAATGCAGCTTACACAGAAGTGAATAAAAAATGATAAAGCAAAAAACAGATTGCGATCACCGACGGCTACCAACTATTTGGAAATGATTTTTCCTTTCATGAGTTTTTAAAATCATGAAGCTTTTTAAACAGCCAACCTTCTGTTTCTCTTCAATTTCAAAAAGACTTCTTTGCACACGCACAACTTCTTCAATATGGTCCGAATGAGCAGCAGCTGCTCTTTGTAACTTTTCTTCCAGTTCGATTTCCCAAAGTTGTCTTTGCGTGGAAAGCTGAAATATGTAGGCTCTATATATGATAACAAAAAATTATACGTTATTAGTTATAATATGAACCAACAGTCTGAATCCTTACCATTTTCTCAGCTTCTAACTGGATTTCTTCACGTAGTGCTTGCACTTTTAGATTTACTTCCTCCTCGTTTAGTTTACTTTGGGATTTTTTTTGTTCTTCTAAAGCGCATGCAATATTTTGTTTTTCGCGAACCTAAAAAAAAAGAACAAAATCCTTATCTTCCGGTCATAATGCCAGAAGGAAAAGTTAAACTTTACGCTAAAATCCTCACTGTTACAGAAGTACCTGACATCGCATAACGAGATTTATTTACCACAGGTAGCTGTGAGAGAGATATACAACAGATTGAGTATAGATTTATTAAGCGAGTCAAAAACTAAAGGCAAATCACACTAATAAAAAAATTTTAATCAGAATTTCGATCTAAACGATGCATTTATAAGGATGTTGTTTTAAAAGTTCTGATTTTTTTTTCATGGTCAGAGAAAGAACAGGTCCGAATATATTTAAACCAGAAAAAAGCATACTTGCTGTTCGGCAAGCTGTTTCCTTAACTGATCCACTTTCAAATGTGCATGTGCAATTAATGCATTCAATTCTTCTTCGTTTAACTTAGAATCTGGAATTGAAAACTGTGTAAAAGCCTGAAGCTCACTTGATTCTAAAAATCCTGTAATACAGAAACGACCTGAATGTCGCAATTATCACAATTAAAGTGGATTATCGATCACTCTATGTTTTCGTACTTCAAGTCATCTAATGAAGTCGTTATGTCTAATTAGTTTCGAGATGATAAAGTCAGTTTTTTCACCATTTTCGACAACTACCCAAAAATTCTCTAATCCACAGGAAATTAACCTTGGGCGTGAATATCAACATTAGGAAGAACTGATTTCAACTCCGATGCAAACTGTTTCCGACTCTTATCAATCAAATCTTTGTATTCACTGAGAATACGTCCTTCATCACGAGTTTTTTTGATTATTAAATTCATTTCATCAAGTTGCCGATCAAGTTTATGGATAGTTTCACGAGCATTTTGTAGCAAAGGATTACTGCGAGTAGGTTCGGCTGCTTCTCCTTGTTCGATTATCTACAAAACCTTCATACCATCGTTCGAAAATAAAGCAAAACAGCGTAAGGAAATTCAGAGGAAACTTCTAGATGAGTAGAAATCCATTACTAGCGGCGACAACCAACCTTCCTGACGCTATCCAAATAATTCCTGGCATCATTCTCCTCCATAGCATCATTATTCGCAGCTTTTTCAACTTTTTGGAGTGCACTTGTCACTTGTGTCCAATCTCCCTTCTAAAAAATTCAGTTACCATTAAAATGTTATTTTTTAAGTACGCCGAAAACTTGTAAATCAAAACAATAACTAACTTCGCCTTCATCAACTGTTCGTTTCATTACACGCGTATGTTCATTTATAACATCGACTGTTCTGTATTTTGCTTCTGTTGCTGAATGTACTTTTTCAATAGCAGACTGTAAAGATGTCTTCAGCATCTTTTCTATGGCTGAAAATCAAAACAATAAAGTTTTATCAGCGTTCTCAAAAATTTGTAATATGTAAAAAATGGACGAAGCAATAGATGAAGGAATAATATGAGGAAATGCCAAGATTTGATGAGCATAAAAAGTATGAAGTAAAATCAAATGCATTTGGCACTCTTAATGACAAAGGCTTACAAAAAAATAATCAACCGGTAAAGGAATTTTGATGGATAGCATTCATTTTTAAGTATATATTCCATAAATACAAACTTCCATGCTGTGTTCTTTGTGATATGGGGTCTTTTTCCTGGCTTACCGCTTGCTCAGGAACCTTGGATATCGATGTAGGTGCAGTAACTGTTTTGAGCAAGAAATCCGCCTCATGTCCTCCTTTTTTCTCTTCGTTTTCGAAATACCTCGAAATAAAGAAAGGTCATTAATCTAAAATCTAACAAATCCAAACATGAAGAAAGTGAGAAAACCAAGATCAGATTAAAAAGAGACAAAATTCTGATGTTTCACAGTTTCGGAACTGAGATACATGGAAAGATTAAGTTATGCTTTCGTCGGCATCAAGTGAAGCAGAGGCTTAAGAGTATAACCGCGACAATGCTTTTCAGTACGTCTATGAACGGCTGCCTCGCCATTTTCGAGATCACCTCCATTGAACAACACAGAGGCAAACTAAATTCTGATGAAACGAATAATTAACTATACCAATAGTATGCAGCACCTCCACTAGCAGCTACTGCCAACAGTAGTATGAGGAAACCACTTCCGAATGACTTCCGACCAGGACCGCTGAAAAGTATAAAAAGCAAGGTCCATATCGTTTTTAATTAGAAAATAGTCTACCAGAACAACTGCAATTTTTGGCAAAAACAACCGTATACTCCAACAAAACTGCTCTCTCATTTCTTCTGTTCTTCATTTATTTCAGTCCCTCACTTTAACACTTTTTTTTATTACGAGGAAGATATTAAAATTACTGTGAAGATCCTTTATTTCTCGGGAAATTTTGCTTACTGATTACCGCTCCATGAATGTGCAAGAAACTGGTGCTTGGACCACCGATTCTATGAAGAATCTGACAAAAGCATTGAGAAGTCCTATGGAACGAGTTAGAAGTTGGACGCGAAAGCCACAAGGCCTGCTGAAATTTAGATGCCAAAGATCCCTGAAAATAATGCTGAACTGATGATATGTACCGTAAAAAACATAAAATTTTTGTTCATAAATATTCGCGACTGTTTAGTTTTTCCAGTGCAACTGTAGAGCATAATAAAGCAAATTTCGAGGTGACAATGGACAACAGTTTAGGGGGTACCTGCTGAAAAAAAAAAAGGAGATCAATCGCCATAGGAAGAAAGGAACAAAACAATGGACAGAATGGGCATAAAAAAAAGTTCCAAAATTTTTGTCTAAAATTTGGATACAGATGGACGAATTATCTGACGAAATAATACTAAATTGACAATTTGGTGCAGATATGTACCAGACCAACAAAATTAAAAGATGAAAAGAATATGCAGCATAAAGCTGAAACGATTATTGTTATTAAACCTGATCGAAGACCACAAGGGAAGTATCAAAAACCCCACTAAAAGATCTGAATTTCGGGAGTGTTGGGGTATAGTGAGAACTTTAAAAAAAAATGAGATTTTCGCAAGAAACTACGCACAAATTAAGGTTTTTCGTCCAACTCGTTCCATAGAAATAGTTTAAGTAGTTAAAAAAATTAGTTAATGCCTATTTTCTGAGCTATTTATTGTACGAGATTACACTGATGTGAAATTTTATACCTGTAAGATACGAAGCATAAAGAAGATCGGAGATGAGTGATAACCGCCTGAAATGGAACTCATGCGAGATATTGATGGACAGATAGAAAATCAAGAAATGAAATTCCCATCATAATGTCCAGATTAACGATTACATCATTCAAGATGTTAACTCATCCAATAATTACAACAATTTACATCCCAAGAGAAAGTCGGCTGGTAATAGTCTATCCTCGAAACATGGTCATGAAAAAAACACCATCGGTACTACTGGAGACATGCTTACTACCGCTGCAAAAGACTGAGCAAACTCGATGCTTGTAATCCCAGACAGCCCTCGTAGAAGATCAGGTGTAATATATGAAGGAACCTTTAGTTTCATAGTGGCTATTTCATTCGGTGGTCGCCGAAGGGATGACCATAGGGGACCGGAGGAGTAATGGGGCTTACGAAGTACTAAGGTGATACGAAGTACTAAGTAATGGGGCTTACGAAGTACTAAGGTATTCGTATGGCGTTTTTTCATTTCAATGAGTCCAACGATTGTTTCACAAAACATTATTTTTAGAAAGGTGCAAATGCCACTGGTTGTTGTGTGTGGGAAACCATCTTCTGGAAAAAGTGCAATTACTGATTGCTTCTGTAGATTCATTATGACAAGAAAGTCTCAGGAAATTGAAGTGGTATCCGATAATAGAAATGCCTCATTTACAAGATCGATATACAGAGATTCTCACAAGGTTCTGTTTAATGCTGTACACTGTTCTTTCCTTGTCTTTGACCTCGTTATCACCAATTTTTTATCACGTAAAAAATAGCATTGATGTGACCGTTGATTGCTTTAATAGCATATCTTTGGTACTGATCGTTATGAAATAGCAAAGGTAATATGAGGAAGTCTGCCATCAGCATATGTTTTTTGTATGGCTGAGAAGACTTTTTGCTTTTGAAGTATCTGCTTACCCCGTTACAGGAACGAGAGCATCGTGCGATACTAAAATCAGAGGTGCAACGCTTACTTTCAGAAAATTGTTTGGTTATTTGCGATTCGTTAAATTACATCAAAGGTAGGCTTCATTTCGGTATAATTCGTTGTACCACTTATCTCATGCTGCATAAAGATATTTCAGCTTGCAGGTTTCAGATATGAATTGTTTTGTATAGCAAAATTGATGCAAACAACATACTGTGTTTTGTACTGCGATGCCAATGAGGATATTTGCCTGCAGCTTAATCTAGAGAAAAAAAAGGCCGACAGGTGGTTTTGCTTTATCCTCTTTAATTTTCTTCGGTTGGACGAATCGGCATGAAATAAATCTCTGATAAACAAATAGAATATGGAATATGTGATGCCTAGACCGGCAGGGAATGACATGGGTAATTGAAGGCTGTATTTGATATTAAATGTAGTCGGTAAACTGGTCCATGGATCACAGTATGTGAAACTTACTTCATTTCGATTTCAGACTGGATTTAATAAGGCTTAAGGCTTAGAGGAAGTGGCGGAGGTGGGGGAATAAGACTTAGAAGAAGTGTGTTAGCAAAGTTTAGGAGGTCCTACTTTTTTCATCTTCACGAATTCCTATGAATAAGAAGTTCTGTCCTGTTTGTGGAAATAGAAAGCGGAATAAATTAGATGGAGTAATCTTTCCTTGGTTTTGGTTTTTGTTGGCTTTTTACTGCATACATTTCTTCCTCCCAAGAAGTTTTTGATGGATCGTATTTGGAAGTCTGTTATAGATACGAAGCAGATGATATAATGGAATTGGCGATGCGTTTTGAAGAGCCCACTGCTACAAATCGGTGGGATTGTCCACTTTTTAAGGTTAAAATTGAGATTGGTAATTCAGCTCGTCGAAGATATGACTCGAATTTCGAACAATGCCTTTGTTTTTTTGGAATAAATGAAAAGAAGTTACCTCTGGAGAATATGTATCTTTGGTTATTCGAGGTGAGATCCACTCAAGTACGGAATTCCCAAGTATATCGCAATTATTATATTGGTTTAGTTTCTAGATTTATATGTTAAACTCCTGGATTTATATATTTTCTCATTCTGAGATGTGCATTCTTTATAGGGTAGAAACTTATCTGCTAATGAAAGCACTGAAACTGCGTCACTTATGCCGGCAGATTTTCTGCATACTCTTGATCAAATAACTAAGGAAGTTGTAACTAGTATTATGCAGCAACAACGGACGGCCTTGCCAGGCGACACCTTTATTGTACCAAACTGTACTTTGGACGATGACAAGGTTCAGTAATTTTATTTATAGTGAACTCATATATAATGTTGAATATATCTGTATTTTTGAAACCCGAAACGCACTTCTCCTTACCGTTGACTCTGATAAGAACAAGGCACGTTGAAAAGACTTTATTCGCAGATTAAAGACAGAAAGCAAGATTAAGGCAAATTAAAACGCAGATAATGAAACGAACTTTTTTACTTCAGTTAATGTTACCAATACGTCTGATTTGAAGGAATTTTTAACAAACATTGTATGCTAATTTTTAAAAGAAATGTGATCATGGAGACCTGTGACATGAGTGTTATTCCGGTATTCCATCAGATGGTTGAAAACATTGATTCCTAGTAACTTACAAAATATATTTTGAAGTGTCTGTATTTATATATTACAAAAGTTGATTGTTAAGGTGCGATTCACAAGACAGCGATCTTTTGCTGAACTCTCAGGACTGCGACGACAATTCACCAGTTACATGAAGGTGCATCCTTTGAATGACACGTCTAAATTTGCTTCGTTATTTATTAATTATCTCAATGCAAATCCTTAATTTTTATTGTCTCGGTAGAAAATCATTGCTCCTAACAAAAAACACTTCGCTATATATACATGAAGATAAAGGTATCGCGTTTATATGCAAACAATACCGTTTGTATGTAAGCAATATGTATAGTTGTCCTGGGAAAAACTATATGACGTCATTCTACTTTCCAGACTTTCTGGATTCTGCCCTGCGGTAACACCAGAATCTACTTTATGCTGTTGCTTTCAATAATCACTTTTTTTTGAATCGTATTATATGATTCTATTAATAGTAAGATGCTTTTCGTTTCCATTGCTATTATTCTGTATTTTATGAAGTTCTGATATGTTTTTACATTTGATCTTAATTTAAAAATTTTGTCGGTACGTAAACTAACCGGTTGAGAACTGAAACTTCTGGCAATAAAATGTTGGTAAATTATGAGAAACAAAAGGGCCTATACATTTGCTAAGTTGTTCATGTTGAAGACTTTTTGTAGAGTGAGAAAATGGTGGGAGGTGTCGATTTGCGGTAAAAGTTTCATATGTAGTAGTCAAGTAATTTCGTTATATGTACCAAAGTACGTATTTAAGAATTGTATCCAATAATAAACTGGACAATAGTTTTCTAACAGGTGTTATTGGTGAATTTGCACCAGGAAGCATTCAGTATTTCTGCGTGAAGGAGTAAAAGGAAATGGTGACCTGAAATCTGTTGTATATAATAACAAAGTAACTTTGCAAATTAGTCGAGTTTCATTTTTGTGGCTATTTAAGAATTTATCCTTCGTAGTATTGTAAACCGAAATGGGGAAGAGCTAACAATATTCCTTAAGGTTGTTGTTATAGTAAGGTATTACGATCTGTTGTTTATTATACGTTGCATTCTGTTAAAATGAAAGTATGCTGAAATAATTTTCTGGATTACCATTGTTCTGTTACTGTTCATCAGGACTGCCTCCTAATCATTCAGTGAAGCGTATCTCGCGAAGAAGGCTGCCAATTCAACCACCAAATCATTTCGTTTAATTCATTCGCTGTTTGTATTTCCCTTGACCGGAAGTGTTTGAATTTAGCATATGAATTCAGTGTAATGCTTTGGTTCAGACTACCAATCACGGAAATCCGCATTGTGGTAACGTTTCCGATTAGATTTTGTGGAAATATTAGCATTTCTTAAACGGCTTTGAAGTCAATTTATCAGAGGAAATGTAATTCACAGAAATATTGCCACAGTTTGAGAGCTTGAATATTTTGTAACTCTTTAATAGCGGTTGTATTTGAAAGTTGCTATAAATTTACATCGCTGTTGTTAGGATTTCTGGCGAGGGAAGCAACGGTGATGTTAAATATTGAAGTAGAGAGAATACTTTTTGCCCTTAGGTGTGTATAGAATAGTGGGAATTCCATTTTTTCATTTTTGACTCCATTTTTTCCTGGAATCACTGTATTGTTTAGTTTAACAGATTATATTCTGCTGAAGTACTACCAGTATCAACATCAAGATTAGATGTGAGATGTTAAAATAGGGAAGAGAGGTTGTTCGGCACTTTCTAAGTCGAACTTGTGTCTTACAAGTTGTGAAGGTGTGCGTTTTGTACCTGTGTCAATATTAATTGTTGAGACGTATAATTTATTTTTTAGGCAGTGGTGGTTATTGTATTCCTGGGAATGACCGTATCCGAACTTTCCTCAATTCTAGTTAACCATGTCGCATGAAAGAAGCCATGGAAACTTGTACGTTTATTCAAGAGTTTAAAGTTATCTTTATGCACTTTATAGACGTGAAGTTTTCTATGATTCTATTTGGATTGTTTTAGCAATTGTTTTCATTGCCGTTATGACACACGCAGCTATTGCCTTAACGTTTGAAAGCAGTTGTTTCCAGTAGGGTAGTAATTTTATATCCGGCTTTTGTAAGTTCCAAACACGATTATGCATAGTTCACGTCGTTTAACACCACCTATTGTAAATTATACAAATTATATGAATTAACTTATCTCGTTTACTTTTTTCCAAATCAAAATTTTACTGAGAAAAACTTTGATATTTATAGGTCGCCAGTGTCTTATGCTCTAGATACGACGTCAAATTCAAGTTCACAACTTTCTGAAGAAGCTGATCAGAATACGTTTTCTTCTTCTTCTTCAAGCTCACCGTCATTGGCAGCAGCACTTCGTAATTTCGATATAGACAGCAGTAATTTCGATACAGACAACAGTGCAGTAAGTTATAAAGTACAGAACAGCCTTTAATGGCAGGTAGGAGACATGTGCGAAGCGTTTGTTCTGTTAGAAGACTATTGCCTTCTACACTGAATATTTACAATCAACAAATGCTTTCAAGTGATATAGGAAGTGCAATATCAGAATATTATTCATTGCTAAAGATCATTAAGAGCAGAGAATTCTCCAGGAATCGTAATCAAGTTTTGTTTGCGAATTTATTCTTCAGGCAAGACGACGTTCGAGAGATGTTTTCAGTTATCCTCAGGATGATTCATCTACACATATGGAATCGTATATGGAATATTTGGCCTTGCTAAATCATCGGCATGGTCAGCATTATTCATTTTAACTTCCCTTCTGCATGATTTTCAGAAGTCCTCAGTGCTTTTTTTTTTACTTGTTAGAAGTTTTTTTCGCTTGTTTTTTCTGTAAGGTTCACAAATACAATGATATTTCTTTAATCGAAAGCATCTGGATACAAGAAATTAACCAAGTCTAATTAGTGAATTAAACAGGAGTAATGCTTTAAGCACAAGAACCGATGGATGAAAGCAGCGGTGCAGGTGGTTCCAATGCCGATGTAGCTACTAACGAATCGTTATCCTTATTGACGAATACTACTAATTCATTATCATTTGGTGTGATATCGTCAATAAACGATGAAAACGGTGACCATAGTGGTGACGGCAGTAATCGCCTAAATGAGTCAGAGAACAATAATGATATCATTGGCGAATCATCAACTCAAGTGAATGAATTCAGCGATGTTGTTAGTTATTATCAGTTGTTTTTCATATTAATTTAAGATAAAATATTTTGTACTTTACAGAAAAGGGCGAAATTGCTTTTTGTTTTAGGAGTTGGCTCTGATCCGGGACTTGTATTCTCCATCAGCAAGTGACCCAAGTAACAGTAGCGAACAAAGGGAAAGTGCGCGTCAGTTTTCCAGAAATATTTATTTTCGGTATTTGCTTCCACTATGTCAGCCGTGAAAATTTGGTTGTAGTAAGCGGCCATCATTCGTTTCAACCCACTTCTTATGAATTGAAAAATAGATGCTTTATGCTATATATGTTATCTCGCTAGTTTTTGACATGTTCTGTGGTGAGAGAATTTATAAACAATTTGCTCATAAAAAATATTGGGCCACTGTTTCTTGTGGAAGCTTATACTGAACCTCAGCTAGAGTACTTAAGTAGGTTTTTATTTGACTGAGAGGAAAAACGTTAAGTTTGATGCATAGCATATCTGACATAGAATCACTTCATTAGTGGAATATGGAATGCAACGGAATGATTAAAAGATTATGGTGATGATTGCTGTAGAATCCGGACCTATTTTTTGCTCTCCTTTTTGCCTTCTGAGGGTCAGATTTTTTACTTGTTGCATTTCAGACAGTGAAGGTTTTGCGAATAGTGTGAGTGAAACAGCACGAGGCGGAAGCTTTCGTCTGCCACATTTGATGCATCGGGATCTAAATAGTAATGTAGGTTTTTACTGTATTTATTGAGCGGTAGGTTTGATCCATGTTATCATTACTTCAATTATTTTAATTTTTGCGCATTTTTATCAGGCAAAGAGGTTTACAATGCATCGTCCTTCTCTATATTATATCTCTTTAGTTTCGACACTCCTTTTGATTCTTTAAACATCTGAATTGATGAATTGTAATTTTGAAAATGTGCAGTTCTGAGATAATCGTTGGGCAATTACGGTCAACTGTCAGTCATATTGGTCATCAGTTAGGAATTATGTGAATGTAGTTCCAGGAATCGGATGCTGCTGAAGAGAATAGTGGCAGTTTTCAGAATCCTGTTCGTCGTGATCCGTCTTCATCCATAAGATTTTACCCACAACCGTTGAAACTGCCCTCATCAACTCGTTTGAAAATCACGGTGCTCAAATGGAATGTATGTTTGTGTAACTTACATTTTCTTTCTCATATACGGAATTGTTGAAAGATGTTTGAATTCATGTATTGCTTAATGTCAGTCATTTCTTCTACTCTTCTTAATCGGGTTGCTGGTGATCCAGATTATCTGACTTTAAATAATTCCACATTTGTTCATGTGCTCTTGAATTCCTTGACGTGGCTTTAATAAGGCTTATCACATTTGGTCAGATAATACTGATTCCAGCTTTTGCACTCCCTATCTCGATAGGGATGTTCATTATGCATCTCGTCAAGGTCTGTGCTCTAATATAAGAATACCAGACTGTCAGAGTAGAAACACATTAGAATTGGCTCAATATTAGCCTTAAATGAAATCCGCTAACTTTGCGTAACTACGCATTGGATTAAATCGAGATTACAAAAAGAAAACCTTATTTTCCTTCTTAAACAAATTTTAATGGCATTTCTGATTGAGTGGATCATCCCTCATTAAAAAATCTACAAGTGATATTGATTTGCGCAGTTTCACAGATGCGTAATTTTCATGTATTTTGAAGCGAAGTAATGAAGGGAGAAAAGGGCATTCCACGGACCCCAGTATTTCATTATACCTATTTTTTAGGTGGCTGCATCATGGAAATGGGTGGCAGGTGATGAAACTTGTGGTATTTGTCGAATGCCATTTGAGGCATGCTGCATTGAATGTAAAACACCTGGTGATGAATGTCCCTTGGTAATGTTTATTTAGTTTTCTCCCTTTGCACTAAGCAAAGTTGAAATAGTATTTTAATTCTTCACGTTTAACTCATAGTCCAGTTTTTATTGGGCCTCTGAGCAAGTAGCGCTCGCACCTTTCCATGGGAGCAAGGATTATGAATTTTGCGAATCTTTGTTAATATCTTTTACCATCCATCTTGCTTAATTGTGACGTGTGGTTTCATTATGTGCACTATTTTTCAGGCATTAGGGGCATGCAAGCATGCGTTTCATATGCACTGCATTGTGAAATGGACTGAAACTCAAAATGCAGCTCGACCGCAATGTCCTCTATGTAGACAGGAATGGAAATTTGCATCCGGATAAGTTCCTGTTTGTACTTTCTAAATCGAAATTATAATATTTTCTTAATAGAATTTACGTTAAAATAATTTTATTACATATAGGTTAACAGATTTACAATTCATTTCACCTTTTCGTTCCAAATTTCGAACTAAATTCTGCATTTTTTGAACCACATTGAATCTGTTTTACTGTACAAGTGAACGATGTTGGCGTTTTTGTTCCTGAATTGATGTGTTCCATTCTTTACTTGTAACATGTCTATGTGGGTTCATGCCTTGTCTCTGTGGGTTCATGCCTGTACAGTTTTACCAGTCAGTTTTACCTTCCTTTGTCCTCATATTATTTCAGAGTTTCGTCTTGCTGTAAGTAAAATATGCTCATTGCTTGCGGTGTTTTCTCAAACATTTTTGATTTATGTTACTGGTGCAAATTGTCTTGCTTCCAAGGTTGAAAATATGACCTCTCATCATTATTGATTTGAGTTTTAACTGATGAAAATTTATTTTTCCTTCATTTTTCGAGTTAATCACATATTCAAAACAGTTGGCTCGAAGCCGTCCAAATATTTTCTTGACAAAATTTGATCCATTATTTGCGCAAGTGAATGGTTTGGATCACTTGTAGAAATCTTCAATTTATCGCATTTTCGATGGATTTATTTTGTATTTGAATTATGCTCATTTCGCCCTATCGTAATTTCCGTTTATCTTTTTTGTTTTGGCTACTCATTACATTGTTGAATGAAAAATGGAGCTTAGTAAAGGTTGAAAACGAATGCCAAATCTGGTCCACCAGACGTTTTCAACCCACCAGAGAGTCACATTTTCTTGTCATCGCGGTAATGTTGATGAACTGCTTTATATGTCATTTCTTGTTTTTAGTTCTTTGAATTAAAATTATTTTTCAATTTGTAGGGATAATTGTTTGTTGGTCCAAACTGGTAAGCTTTTTTCTGCTAAATCTGGTTTTTGAAAAAAAAGTACTAGTTAATCTGTTGGTTTGTAATTTCTTTATCTCTGTTGAACCCGTTTATGCCAGTGTAATGATGGTAGATTGTTTCGAGTTACTGAGAACAATAAAGTAGAAATATATCTTTTTGAGTCGTTTGTTTTTGTCTTCAACTAGTATTTCATATCAAACTTTATTTGCCTTTATCAGACCAGTGAATGATGCGTTTAGTTCCTAGAGTTTAATCAGTAGTTTAATGTTATATGTTAACTGATTCCCTTTGTGTCATTACTAAGTTCCACATTCTAAAGGTATAAAGATAAGGGGCGAACAAAAAATCAGTAGAATCCACGATAAGAAGGAAGGAGAAAGGAACAATACATCTTCATACTCCGATTGTAACTAGTGAGTCCCCACATTGATGGAGTAGGCTTTTTTATGAACTGGAACATGAGTTAGCTTTGTAGTCATTAAATTCACACACTTTTTTTTTGTTGCATTTATTGACATTTTATTAGTAATGCGTGATCTCGGTCTGCAAAGACGGCCGTATTTCGGTGATTTTCGATTCTGGAGAGAGTTGGAAGCGTGAAGTGTTTCATGGTACTGGATCAAGTTTCATTGCGAATTTGAAAATAAAATTAAATTCCATCCCTCTTATACTTTGTATATGTCACTGTTCTTTTTGCATATATGCAAGTTTTGCTCAAATGCTATGTCCCTTAGTGTTACACTTTTAGACTGAGCATGGTGAAAGGCGGTTATGATCTGTCAGATCGACCAAATTTCCCGGGAGAGAAGACATGCGTAATCTTTGTTATAATATCTTCTACCTATCCTGAAATTTATATTGTCAGGAATACCTATTCTCCTGTAACGTGTTTTGGCTGTCCTTCTCTCACCTATCTTCACTGGTGTTCAGAGTTTGCTTTAAATTTCATTCTTTTTAAATCTTGAGCAAATCAAGTTTTTCTTTTATTCCAGCAAATGTCTGAGATTCTTGACGTTTCGGAGAATTCAAGTAAAGAACAAGTTGGTGGATCTGTTGTTTCTGCTGTTGTTTCAAAAAACGGTGAACTTTGGTTGTTTTCACAGTTGTGGTATAGGCCAGCAAGGCATTTACTCGTAGCTTTCTGCTAGTTTGCTTATTATATTCAGCCATAATTTACTGGAAAAAGAATATTAGCCAAAATTTAATTTCGCAGTGGTTTGGTTCTTCATTTCAGACGAAAGTTTACAAATGGATGCGGAAGATATCCTTCCTACACCGTCATTTTCAATGCACCATTCTACTGGTGCTAGTAATACTCCATACGTTGTTAGTATTTCCGGTTAATTAGTTCTTTGACAGTTCTAGATTAGTTAGTACATTGCAAAGTGGTTAAAATGGAATATATTCAATGGAAGTATTCACCTCATGCTACATAATTTTTGTTGTTACTGTTGCTATATTCAGCTTTTCAATTTCTTTTGGTGAGGAAGAATTAAAGGTTTTATTTTGTGTTTTTACAAAAGTTTTTCTCTTTTTCTAAATTTGTAGAGCTACTGGCGCTCCAGTTGTTGATCATGTATTAGCTTTCGATTTTCTTTCTTTCTTTTTTTTTTTTTTTGATAGAGATGCCAAATTTGATCGATTTTTTTTTTTTGAACAAAACTTAAAGAAATAAAAAGACGTGAAGAAGTAATTTTTTTAGTGTTATTCATTTTAACAAGCAGCTCTGATAACTTGTTATACTGTTTAGGCCTCTTCACCTTTTGCTTCAAAGTTGCTATCATTCGAACAACGTGAAATTCAATCCAATGAACGCGATGTTGATGTCGACTTTTTCTCACATTTACTGATCTTTTATATGATTAAGGAAGATTGGGCAAAAGTTTGTCTTTTTTTGACCCTAGTTTTGTTTAAATCCTATACTAAGAACTAATGACATTAGATTCATAGAAACGGAAAGAACATGGATTGGTATATCAGAATCCTTTCCAGTTTACTAGTTTATGCAATATTCTCGTGCGGTTTCTATATGACTTCCGATTCTTTGTATGTTTTTAGGCGCGCCAGTGTCGTCTCCGCGCCGAAATATCGGCAACAAATATCAATCTGAATACACTCATGCTTATCTGTCATCATCTGGAGGACGGTGATACTGGAGTTGCTCTTCGTCTGATGAAGAATTCACACTTTGAGAATCCAATCAAGTATATTTTGTTGACTTGGTCACATCCTTAGCACTGCTGGTTTCCGTTTTAGTATAGTAGAGTCTAATGCAGTCAGAATTTCTTGAGAAACGTTCCACTAAAAGAGGAAGAGCTATTGAGGTTATGCTTGAGGAAGATTTGCTTCCTGATTTCTGAATATTGAAAATGCAGAAAAGTAAAACAGAAAGTTACTTCGTTGTTTCATAAATTTTATCATCGCTTGGCTGGTTCTTATTTCTACTGGATTTTTTTTTTTGTCATTTATTACAATTTTGACATTTTTTCAGAGATCTGGTAACGGAAGTACATAAGCGAATCATTTTATCGGTGTTACGAATGGTTGAACATACGTATATTAATATTGAAGCAAAAAAATTAATTGAAATGCTTGATGCAGACTCAAATAACGAATTACAGAAGGTTGTTGATATACGAGATATGCTTATTGATTTATGTTATTCAAAATCTTTAAAATGCTGTCTGCCAATTCTTTGATAGGAAAGCCTTTCGTAAATTGTAATGGATGTTTTCAAAAGACCAAATGATCTGAATCATCAAACATAGGTAGACTGAATGGAATAGTGAAGCAGATAGCATCACATGCTAAGTCGTCAGTGGGTACTGGACGACCGAAGAGTTCGAATCAGTTTAGTGCTTTGTGGTATATTCATCGGTCATGTTATAGACAGATAAGAAATAACTCCATATAGTCTATACCATGTTTTTAAAACTAAGGTTATCCCTCCATGTTCTGTATTGTAGTTTTATTTCATATCGCTCAAAGTTGCAGATTTTGAATCGAATAGGTTGGCAACTGAAGGATGGTTATGTGATACCAAAAATGACATCTCAGTTAGTGCGTGAGATTAAGGACCTGGATGCTTCACCATATGGACCGATCCCGCAAGCATTTACTAAAGTAACCTGTGGAATGATCAAAGGCACTGTTGATATTAATAAGCTCATTCAGTATGCTACATTTTTGGAAATTAACACTTAGTAATTATTTTTTCAGTGACAAGTTTTCTTACGTGACTTTCTTTTGATTCCGTCCCACTTTTCTACATATTCAGAAATCATTTTCGAATAAAACATTGGAATTCAAGTCACTTTTTCGGCAGACAAATACATGGAATATTTGCAGTCTATTTCAATCTTCACCCCGAAATCACCTACGTGAACCGTCGTTTTATTTTCATCATAAGATAACCGGGACTTCTTATTAGTTCTTAGGAATATTAGTTCACAGGACGTATGTGAAAGTTGGCAGAATTCAGTGCCCAATCTGTCAATCAGCATGGAGACGGAAAAGTTTGTTAAGGTTCTCAGCGCACGTCGAAGTAAAAGTAGCGGGATCGGCAGTGCGAAGAAAATTCAGGTAAATTTTAGGATGGAATTACGCAAAGTTTGATTGCGTGTATAAGGGATGGAACGATAAATTTATTTAGTCGATCAGTTAGATTTTGGTAATTAATTAAATTTCAAATCTAAAAGTTTGTCCGGAATCTTTTTAAGTGGTGGAACTAATGTAATGAAAGTACATACAATTCAGTGATTACCAAAATTAAATATCGAAGAAGTTGCTTTTTATCCCCAATGTCTCTTTTCATTATACATAATTGAAATGTTGCACCGGGTGTTTCAAACACATCAAACGTGATTAATATCATAGAACCCAGAAGTCACAGAATATCAAGAGTTGGGTATATTATAGAATGAATATGCCTGGATTTCGGAATCAGCAGACATCAACAATGACAATTTATAGAGTGCACAGAATGGGATATCTGGCTGATTTTACAAATAAATGGCATTCATCTCGCTACATATACATAATAGCGAAATCCCTGAGGTAGCTTTCGAAAATTGATGAGGATGGCATATCAGAAGGGTATTTAAGATATTTCGTATCTTTCATGCTTTTCAATGTCCTTCCTTCACCATTGTTTTTCCAATCTTCTAAAAATCCTTTTTAGTGATACTTTTTGAACTTCAAATGTATTATGAGAGATTTCAAATATTTTCTCTTATTTTCCAAAATAGCTATTGATGTTTATCATTTAACATACACAACAAGAAATTTTGTTTTTCTTTTCAACCTTTCAAAAAGAAATTTCGTTATTATATACATATAGCAAAATTACAAAATGAGCGCCAAATCAGCTAGATATCCCATTTGGTCTGCAATAAACTATTACTACCAACGTCTGTCGATTTTGAAATTTTAGATATTTCCTTTTTAGAAGAAACTTTGTGTATGTAGAATGAATTCATGACCATGTGCGTTTGAATACGACAAATGATTTTGTGAAACAGGTGACTCGTAAATATGTTGACCTATTCAAGTTACATTGTGCTACATGCTACATGTATCCGAGTGGGTTTTAATTGGACGCAATGTCTCCACTGCTCATTATATAAAATCTCATTATATATAAAAAATAAAGAGTCCAGTGCAGTCTATTCTGCCGAGAAAGCCTATTCTCGCAAATGCTAGAAAGTTTGGTATTTGTGAGAATGTAAGATCAGTACAGTTTTTAGATCTTTATGATGTGGTAAATAACGGGAATAAATGCATAATTATGCAAAAAGTACAACTGTTGATAATTGTGTTACAGAGAGACAACAATGGTGCATTGCACATTAGTTCGATCTCATCCTTAAAGTTACGAAATTTGAAAACAAAAATTCTTTTGAGGGATCGTAATCTGCCGAAGGAAAACCCAAACATTAGAGATATTAAAAAAACATTCCGGTGCAAATTTCATTTCGCAACAATCAATTTTAAATGAACAGCAAAACTTGATTTAAAATCAGATAATGGGACGGGTTTTGATGAAGGAGTTAAGGAGCAAAAATGTTGATTTCTGGCTGAAACTAAGAGAAAATTCCACTAATCATTAAGGACCAGACTTGTCCCTCGGAACGGCATGAAGGCTTGCTTTTTAATTCTAGATAGATTGAAATAGAACTGAAAAAAAGCTAACAAATAATAATGAAGTCCATCAAAAATCCCGATTTGACATTTTAATTTATCCCAAGAAAATTAATATTAGACATCTTAAATTAACATGAAATCAAGAACTGCGCCCCGGATTTAAGACGCTGAAATAACAGCTAAGCTTTGAAGCCAGTAACTTACGCACATACGGCCCTTCGTTCCTTTTTTATCATAAACGGAGATTAAGTCGGATTGATAACTGTCATTTGATCGTAATATAATGTGCGTAAATATTTGAAAAGAATAAGTTTTTTACGAAAAGAAAAAAGTTTGTAGGATGGTAAGAGGTTGTAGACATTATTGTGACAAATTATTAAAATTGGAACCACTTATTCAGTCCTCCTATCATAAATTATCCAGATTTGATAACAGTTATTGCCGTGGAGTCAAAAGCCGTCTACAAAACTATAAACATTAGTAAGTCATCCGTGACAAAAAAAAGGATTTTGTTTCCAAAAGCGCAGAAAACTAACCGTCATTATCGCAAACCATTCGGGCCACTTTCACGCTAACTGGAACGATGCATTCAATCAGCCTTTCCCAATTGTCACAAATTTACCAGCCTGGTTGCTAGCAAGGACTTCACTTTTTTTGCACTTGATTCAAAATCAATTTAAAAGCAATTCGTTATATTATATTGATTATATTATATTATATTCATCAACTCTGGAACTATTTATTCCTTCTCATCCTCGTGTGCTTTTCACACACTCTAATGTGTTTGAGCTGATAATCTATTTGTAGGTAATTCACTAAAAAATTGTTTCCAAGGATTTCTTGTTTTTTATCGCTTTCCCGAATTTTCTTGGCTTATAATCAGTGTTTTTAGAGTTCAAAAGTTCTGGAATTGAAAACGCGAATAAAGTTATTTTAATTCTCTGTACTTTTTAGTGTTCTTTATCCAACAGAAAGTAGTACGAACTCTTTCTTCAGGAAAACTTAGAAGCTTCATATTTTGATTGAAGTTCCATCATCTGATGCTTTGCAACATGTGACAGATTGCTCGTCACCTAAGATTTGAAAAATGATTTTACATCATATTTTTTGCGAATTATGACACATATCTTAATTTCGCAAAAAGAAAAGGAAAGCGTCCTTTAAAAATGAAATGGTTTTGAAGGTTCTCTTTCTGACAGCAAAAAATATATTTTTTCTTTATTACACTTATGGCCTCTGCAATCTACACTTTCTTCTTCGCATTTATTAGATTGAATCTATTTTGTTCTGAAATTGACAACCACACAATTCTATTTATTACTTCATCATTATATGTTTTTCTTAGCTTTTATTACTGTCTGAACTGTCTGAATAAAGAAGAGGTCTTGCAGATTTGTAAAACTTCTTATTCAACGACGGTACAGGATGAATGAACGATTTATTTAATACGATCAGATCATACTGCCGTGAGTAGTTGTAAAAGTGCGACGCAGGGCATTCTCTGATTTGTGTTAACGTAATTGCGTGACCTTACATTGAGGGACCATTTGAAACAAACTTTGAAATATTTTGATATTTAGAGTGCTTATTGATATAAGAGGATCAGGACTGAATTTCCAGCCATGTACTCGTGGGAGTTCCAAGAAGCGAGACGAGGAGGGAAGGGACACGTTGTCGTCATTAATTACTTGGCTTATATTGGTAGTCTGTTTCATGTTTGATGAACCAATTTTGCGCTGCAACAGTGTTCGAGAGAGGATGGAAAAAGGGCAGTTGGCTTGGTGACGACATCAGATTTTTATTTGGTTATACATTTGTTTGAATGGGAGGGATGCATGACGTGTACATTTATCACTCAATCAATGCGACTTGATAGTTGATTTTAGACAGAAGTTTAAACTGAAACGCATCATTTAAAATTGTAGCATTATCAGGTTGAGTTACTGTATGCCATGCTAAGATAATTTGACATAATTACTGAGTGTTGGTTTCTTTCTTGTGACGCTAGCACACATGCGATGGCGGGAGAGACCATTGGAATTTTGATACGTTTTCAGTAAAGTAGTTATGGGGTGTGTGTGTTTGTGTGTATTTGTTTTGTGTGTCCTGTATATTCTTCATCTGAAACTAACTTCCAAAAACCATTAAGTCACCCAGGTGAATTACCGTAACCACCCTCATGGCTTTTTGACTCTGAGAGGATGAAGTTGGGCACTCTTCGAGAACCTTTGGAGAAGTTGGGACTAATTAATTTGTGTCTCTCGTTTTGTTACATTAATATATTAAGATTCGTCAGTTGCATATGAACCAAAACTCAATGGATAACATAATAATTTGGAATGTGGAATCATTCTCAAATGTTAAAAACTGTTTGGTTTCTTTTCTTTCACATTTTTGCTGTTTTTAATGGTTCTAGAAAATGAACATGAAAAATCTCGTTGTATTACTCATCTTTACCTTCTAAAAAGCATAGACAGTGTTATCACTGTCCTCGAAATGTTACAGTACATCAAAAAAGTGTCCGGACTCCAATTTGGGAATTTATGACAAATATAAACAATCTAGAATTGCATGACAAAGTTGTGTGTTCTGGAAGTGATCATTCATCATATCACCAGAAGTTAAATATTGCTAATTTATAACTGGTATCGGAAAAGCGTGTCATTTTTAATTCCAGGTTATGAACTGTGGAATTACGAGGGAGCGGATGATAACAGTCGGGATGGAGTAGGTCAGACAAATTCAAAAGTCAATTCTATTCGAACAAAATAACAAAGAGAATCCATTAAATTCAATAACAACGGGCTTTCCCAACAAGAGTCCCAGCTTTTTCTCAGGGAAACCGCGTGCATGTGTGTTTGTGTGAGTGCTTGTGTTTGCATGTGTATTGCATAGCTTCGACATTGCTGAGGTAGACGGAGGATGCAGATATTTCCGTAATGATAGAGCAATGTTTTCCTTTCCTTGTCAGAATTAAATGTCACGAAATATAGCCAAAATATTTGATGTGATATATTTTTACAATTTTCGTAATTTCCTGCGACATAAGTAATTGTTCTCACTGCTTATTCAGCTAAGCTAATCAAAATTCATTGCATATTCACTTTCCTAAATATTATGATAATCCTCATCAAAATAAGTTCACACAGACATATATTTCTAGTATTTAAATATTAATGAACCGACGATGAGTCATGTTTGATTCGTTGTCGCATGTTTCGCTGTTTTTAAAAGTAGTAATCTTTGTTATCCGATTGCAAAACATCAAGGATTTGCAAAGACAAAGAAAGGAAATAGTGAAAGACATCATGCGATTTTGATATCTTTTAAACCCATCAAGTTCTTTTCATTTTCCGTTATTCAAAGAAGTTGCGGCAAACGATTGGAAGTGACTTTGCTGATCTTTAAGTTTTGTACATTAAAATGACCCACAGAAACATTAACCGTTAAAAAGCCATTCAGCAAGTAAAGCAAGCATATTTTAATGTTCTCAACAATACATTTCTTTAAAGCCAATAAATTGTTCATTCAGTATTGCACTGCACAAAATAAACGGAGACCACAAATAAGCCAGGAATGCATTTCTTGCGAATCATTTTGACTGAACTCTGTGATAAATTTACATCTTACTGACTACAAATTTCTAGTACTTGCTCCAAGCAGTCTGTTTTCGTGACTAGCCATGATTCACTGGGTGGACACATGCAATTAATGCCGAACTTACCTGCACATTCTGTAAAGCATTCCAATACAAGTACATTAGTCCTATATAAGCAAGTAGGTCTTATACAGTCTATTTACAATTAGAAGTTCATGATGCACAGGCACCATCGCTTCAATTCAAATTACACTCGAATTGGGAATGAATGATTTCAAAATTCAAACAATTTGATGATACAGCAATGTATTTATCTAACTTATACGGAAGCAAATCCAAGGAAATAAACCAACCATCAGGAATCCTTCAATTAGATTAGTTTATTATATGCAAATCCATTCATCTGACATCTTCATTTGTTTCGACGTAATAAAAATGAGTAATACGTCATCCAGTTTACGCAATCACGCATTTTTTTCTTCCTGAAGAATACACCATACCTATAAGTAGTACTGAAGAATGCTTTATACATCAGGTTCCTTTCCTGTTCTTTATAGGTCTTTATACGGTTTTCGAAATTCTGCAAATTTGAAAGAGTAAGGATTGAAATAGATTGGAATAGAAAGTTGAAATCTTTCATAACTTTGGACCTAATACCAAACTTTTAAACGGTATTATTGAATGGTTGAAATGATCAATAGTAATTACCTTTTTGTTCAACCCAATTCAGTTTACTTTACATCCGTGTTTACTAAATGACGGATCATCACACAAAGTACCCAACGTGGACACTTTATCGAGTGTGGAAATGACTTCAGTAAGGCAATGTCAAAACACAGTAGAAAGATCAACAGACTAGTGTAATTGTGTGAACGGGTTCTGTGAAGTAGTTCTGCAAGTCCTGTGTAATACCACTGTTGATATCAGTGCTTGCCTACACCGGAAAATATTATATCGATTGTAGTGCATTTTTTCCAATCGTTTGGTTGTTTTCTTCCATAATAAATTTATCAGCTGATTACGTATCCATCTGTGAACTATTTCATTTCTTTATATAACTTGCTCATAATTTACTTAAACTGTTAGTAGAAAATGATATTTAGCTTCACTTCTAATTAAAATACGCTTAACGATGCGAACTTTCAACCACTGAGCAATCTTTTCTGAATCCTTATCCGTATCGTGGATTGGGCTGCTGACAAGGGACTCACTATCAGAAAGTGAAACTTCAATTAAATTAAACTATATACAGTGTCAGTCATATTCGAAACGTAGCTTTTTAAATCTTTCATCTATTTTGAAACTTCGGGAATTACGGAGTAAATTATCTAATTATCCGTGATAAATGGCTACTCTAAACTGTGTTATATTGTTTGAAATATTACTGATAATAAGCAGTTCCAGCAAAAATTTAAAATTGTTCACCCTTCTTTGGATCATGAATAAACCTCACAAAAATATTTTCTGACTATTTATTGATAAGTTTTATTTCATAATGTCAATCCAACAAACCAGTAAATTTAAGTATGAAAGAAAAAAAGATTTTGATTTTAAATAGAAGAATGGAAAAATTTTTTTAATTATTTACTTTCAAAAGCAGTTCTAATGATTCAGGCCAGATACAATTTAATTGCCGTAAAAAGTTTGGAAAATTTTCATGTTATTTCTCACCATCCATCTTTTTCATTTTAATGTCAGTATTTTCCTTCTAATTCCATTCCACTTCCACAAATCATTAACCATATTTGGAAGCATAGGCTTTGAATTACAACTTTTTATAACTACTTTTGATTTTACTATTCAAATTACCACTTGGCTAAACTGTTCTATTTAATTGATTATAAAATTTTGCTTTGAATTATTTGCCTTCACTTTTTTTACATTATTCATTTAGGAAATCCAGCAACGGAAAACAAGTAATACACGATTGGTGATATTCCTCGCTTTTTTCATCCTAGAATAAGCTTTCCAAAATATGATTTATACCATCAGTCAGTTTTTAAATATCGCTTGCCTTCGTATACATTTGGACAAAAATTTTTCAAATAAAAAAAAAATCATGTTTTTCAACTTTTCAGAAAAACAGTCAAAGAGTCAAATAAGTTCAGGGGAATTTTCAAATTTTACAAAGTTAATTTCCTAGTAAGGGAAAGTGTTTCAAGGAGTATTAACTAACCAGGATTGGCGCTTGTTTTAGTGTCATCACCGCTGACTCACCTTTACCATTCCGAATCAGGATTATGGATTTATGAATCTCGAGAAATTCTGATCCTAGATCTAAGCCAAAACCCGAGGACACATTAGTAATTTTTCTTAATTCACTTCACTGTCATCAATCACCGGCGAAAACAGCATCATCTATTTTAATATTTAAAAAATGGAAGTTTTAGTGGTCATGGGTTTCACAAATCCTCTGTCATTATCGATACAGTAGTAACTCAAATCAGAGTAGCTGCTTGCTTTTCTATGATACATAGGATTGTTTTTAAGGCAACTTCCTTCATTTCCAATAATGGCCAGTCCTGTAATCTAATTTCTCACATACATATCCAGCAAGACAATGTTAATTATTTCTATTTTAATCTACTTCTCGATCTTCTTCCCGTCAAATTCATTGCTCATGTTTCCACAAGGTTAGCTTTTTACTTGCTGTTAAGAAGTTTTATAAATATATTTTAGTAACGTTACCAAAATGTCTTTGAAACTAACGCTCCAACCTTCGCTGTTCAGTAAGGTTCTTTTTAATGATGATTAAACGATACTGTATGTCAGCTTTTTGAACTTTAAATTCCATATGCAATTGTACTCGAAATTTCAGCTGAAAGTTAAATGAAAATTTTGTAAAAATATCTGAAAACTTGTCGCTTAGATCCCTAAGAACTTTAGTGGAATTTCCAAGCGACTGCATGCGAGCAATGTGTGAAGCAGATTCAGGATGTGTTCCAAAAGGTTGCGACGAGGACATTCATGGAAGGTATGGATGCGGCTATTTTCGACTCAACATCTATCACTATAAAGTAATGGTGCTTGTCTCAAATCAAAAACTGTCATTTCCTTGCTAAAATGTGGTATTCGTTTCCGCTAGTTCAATTTTCTTACCTTTAAACAGCAGAAAATGAACTTCATCATCTAACTAGTTTTGAATACCAATTTAACTAAAAGAAATGGAAGAGATCTCGATATTTTTCCTTTTGAATTGCAAATCATATTTTTCGGTTCAAGATCTATTACAGAAAAAATTTCCAATTTTTTACTTTATCCGTTTATCAATGCACTTTTTGGAATACCTACGTCTTTTATCAAAAAAAAAAAATGGTTTTTGATCAGAACTTCTTTTATAAACAGATAAATTAATAACCGGAATTGGAAGAATAGGGTAAGTAATAATTCAAATTATAGCAATGTTATCAGCCGGGTAAAGAAGACGACCAGGATGAGGAAGAGGCATGGTTAACGTGCGCCGAAAATTATGAGTGCTCTCAGGAATGCCTACGGGTAATTCGATTTCCTTCAACCTTCGTGGATATCAAGCATTTTATGAACTTATATTTTATGACATGGAATCTTCTTGACAATCCTTTGAACAAGAATGTCGGCAAAAACGAGACAATCAAATGCATCTGGTTTCCCCGAGTCACACTCAACATCTTTTGCATTTCGTTTAAAGCATAATCAAAAATACACTTAAACTTTTCAATTGCTACAAAACTTTTGAGAGTAAAGATAAATAATTCTTTCGAAATTGGTAGATTGTATCTCTAGTAAGATTTCTGAGTTTAATAATCTCTACTTATTGAATTAATTAATAAAGGATAGCGATGGGAGGTTAAAGAAATGCATCGCCACTTGCATATCAGTTTCCTTTACCTCATAAAGTTTCGTCTTGTTCTGCACAAAGCCATTTAATTTTTGAAAATTTTTATTCAAAAATGCTACATCTTTGCTATCTTGAGTTCCATTTTTAATGCTTCCAATTACAATAATAAATCTGCAGCAACTAATATTTTTGAATTTCAGCGACTAAGTAATCGTTATAAAGTGAAATGCTATGGAAAAAGTGACTGCGAAACTTTAGCAAGAATCCATGATGGCGGTGCTAATGGCTGCCGGTCAAAGGATACATTACCCTACTGGAATATTGTCAAACAAAAATGTCCCCACTGCTGAAATCTGTGAATTCTCTGCAGATATTTAATGATACTTGGACACAGTTCAGAGTTTTTTGCTCCGATATTGTTTGTATTCCTGATGTCTTTCTTTTTCACTGCTGTAGAAATAAGCTTTACTAGTAGGCATTGTATCATCATTTCATTCCCAATTTGCCCACGGTTCGACAAACTGAATATGAACTTTCCTTCAGTTTTGTTCATTTCATATAAATTGAATGTGGATTGGCCGGTACTTTTATCTTCAACGTTGTACAATATTCCAATAAATCTTAAGTATACTGTATAACATTTTGTCTTTTGTTTCAAAAGGTTTCTTTCACTTCTTAACATTCATTCGAATATATCTGTAACGGAAGGAGATAACACAAAAGTTGAAAAGGAATTTAAATTTCAGTAAAGGAAGATAAGCAAAAATCCCACAATGCAAATCGTTTATCTGTTATTCGTTATGTAATATTCAGGGATTGTCTTCTTGCACTCACTTATCAGCAAGAGGCATTTTCAGGATTACTTAGGTGAATTAAGTAATGCTACCAAAAATAGTCTTGCATACAGTGTTAACATATCCCGCATTATCTTCGCTCCTTCCGCATCCATTTTGCAATTTGATTTCTGTATCAGCTAAATCTACTGTGGATAACTAGAAGCAACGATTACATGACAATTATGTAAAAAATTATATCATTTGCGTCGCAATATAAAGTGAATTTCTTTTGAAGTGCATCATAGGCAAGAAGCTTAACGAAAGATTTAAAATGTTCGCTTTGCAGCTCTCTTGCTCATAATTCCAATTGGTATCTGTTAGATGGGGCCCTGACCTACCATAACTTATAGGCATTCAATTTGAAACATTATCTAGTGGTGAAATTTTAGTGAGTAGTGAGAAAATACTAAAGTGGCGCGACGTCACTAGTACGAATGAGATTTATTTATCAAAGACATGCAGTACATACGCTATTTTGTTCATAAATTTATTGATAACACTGCAACTTTCATGCATCCTTTATTCGTCTTAGCAACTGCAAAACAGATAAAAAGCAAAGCATCTCTCCCAACCAAAGCCTTATTAATTGTCCCGACGTTTGGAGACCAACCTATAAAAGAATTTTAAGAAAATAAGATCCAATTTAGTAACTAGATCTCAATCAGAATCAAGTTAAAATAACATATATAACCTGACTACGTGCCCTGCCATCAAAATAACAAGAGAAGATAATATCAAAATATTTCATACAAACCAGATATCTGTTTTGTAACATGAATAATTTCCATTTATACATACAAAATTTCGTCCTGCCAGTAAATTCTGAAGTTTCAAAACCAACTTACATGTTTTGATGCAAAAACGATATTCATAAATGCATTTTCACCTGTCTCTTCCAAACATTTTTATGTGACCATGAGTAAAAAACTGTTTCTTTTCTGATTTCGAAGACAACATTTTTAAACCAACCTACAGAAAACCTTAAAAAATCAATGACCAATTCGACTAGATTCCAATCAAAATTAAATTGCAAATCCATGTATATAATATTACTAAATCCATCACATGTCGTAGCGCCTAGCGTCAATGTAAAATCTAATCTTTTTACAACTTCACTAACAAATGATACCGAATTTGAATTATTGTCCCAAGAAATGACTATCGGAATTTCGTCTATTCTCTTCTGATTTTAGAACACATCCGTCTCGGAAGAAACGCACCCTTCGTTTTACCACGAACAATTCAAGAGTTGGTAGTTCCCAGGCCTAACAAAGGTAGTAGGATCAAAGATCAGAAATCAGAACACATATTAACAGAATCTGCGCAAAAACTAGTTTGGTCTTGGACGTTTTTGGCATCAGCAACTTTTATTCCTTCAGATTAAAAACAATGTGAAAGTATCGGGTAGCAGACATTTGTAGCTCAAGCACAGTCATTATAAAAAGAAAAAAATCTTAACAAAATTCTTCGCTAATTTTCAGGAGGCAATTTTAGCAAATACAACACGTATGCGACATAATTGAGACATATCCCGAGATATAACTTAAACGAATATTGTTCAAACAACCAATAAAACAAAGGTATTTTCTGAAATAAATAAGCAGTGAAAATATTACAAAGGCCGAAATCTACTATTATACTGTTGATGTTAAAACCACTCGCCACTACCCCGTTTTCCACATAGTTTTGAGAAAAACTTCACTCTCTTCATCAGCTTAATAAAAATAACACACAGGAAGTTACAATAATGGGATTTCCTAACTGTAATTTTATTAAATCTAAATTTTGCTTTGGCATGTGGTTTAGGCCTAATAATTTTATCCAGCAACATAGTGAATTCAAAATACAACAAATTCTAATATTGAAAAAATCCTACTTCAAGGCCGTTATCACCGTTGAAAAAACAAAGAAGTGAATACACCGAGATTCTTTTTACCAACATATCTTGTAGTTTCCCAGCCAAAAATTAAAAAAATTAAAGGTACCATCGAAATCTGTTACTCATAGATTACTTTAAAACTTTGAAAATTGCAATAATTTGTAACGAATTAAAGGTGGACAACTTAACTATGCACTTGGTGATTTTATGTCACATGTTAATAATACAGACTGTTTTGCAATACCAGATTTGGACATGAAGATATTTTGAAATTGCAATTCCGTTGACCTTATTCTCAGAATTTGACAAAAGCAACCAAGTCAACCTGAGTACCTAAGTCTTAAATATAACACAGGCAATCCTTCGAATCCAGAAACGCACATATATTACATCAATTTTTCCTGTAAACAGAGATACTTTTAAAAAAGCTGGATTCATAACAATTTGTTCACACGTAAGGGTATAAATGTTCGGACTACAACAACACTTGGTTATGATTTATGTAAATTATGTGAAAAGGCATATAAATTGCTACACCGAAAGAATAACTCGAGAACGGTAAGAATATTAGCATAACGGAATACTGATAACTATAACAAACTGTTAGCTAATATAGACCTAACAATAGTGACTTATGATGAACCACCTATGTTTGAAACAAATTCTGCTATGGCAGTCATCTAATATATAAAGACAGAATTCAGAAAAGCTGGAATTAGTATCTCAGCTTTCAGAAAATCCACGTATATCCTTAACTGCTATTTCTCTGTCCATTAGACAAAGGCATGCTCGAATGCCCTTTTCACGTTTAACAAGCATTAATAGCTTCACTATTATTTCGGAACATCTAGAAAGCGAAGTGCGCATTCCCACTCACAGTTTTCTAACACTCAACAGAAGATACTGTTTTTCAATTTCAGACGGCTAAGCAGATTTAACTTACCAAAGTCACTTATCAATAACTTCCTTGAGATTAACGGCACGATGTAAAGGAAAACTGTAAGAAAAAGTAATGCGATCAGAACTTGGAAAATCACAAGCTAGTTTTTAGAAAATATTCAAAAATAAAAAAAACTGGGAAAAAATTCGGATATAATAAGAGAATTATCAAGGACTATATGCACTCATTTCGTATAGCACAACTCCCGGTAGTGGAGTGATTACAAGCTAGAGAAGTGGAAATGAACTCATTTAGACAAAAAAAAAAAACCCGCAGTACTAACCGTCAAATAACCTTGCTTCATCAATCTTGTCTGGTTTCAGGTGACAGATAGTAATACTAACGTCCTTCCTTTAAAAATGTTGTAGTTGTATTAAAAAACAGAAACAATAACACTATATGCGCAACATGCTAACAGTAAATTTCAAAAACAATAACGCAGAAAAGGAAGCCTAGCTTTAACCAAGAAGCATGTCACAAGTGTTGAGGCCTCACAATGTGTTGCAGCAAATCACAACACTATCCAACGGCTTCAGATTTTGAAACATATCAAACAAGCAGAAACTGGCACACCACTTGCGTACATGAGCTTGAAATAACAACAAGGTTAGCACCCCTTGAAAAACTCTCAAAACATTGTCGTAAACGACATGCAAGACGGATCACCATGATCTTCAAGAAACAAAGGAGGCTGTTACTGCTGTTCAACCCAGTTCTTAACCCATTAACGGTTTCCAATATCAACAACTGGACTATCAATGAATTATTCCCAATGGCTTTCGTGAAGAATCAAAGAATCGCAAATGATACACCATAAAAGCTTAATTACCCAAAGAAAAGTGTGAAAACACTTTAAAACCAAAGTATTTCATTAATCTCATTGATCAGTATTTTATAATAAAATACATCATAAAGTACAAAACCATATCGATCCATTCTTGACTACAAGCATCTTGAAGTACAGAATTTATTAGTCTTTTTCCAATATATTCTTCGCATGAGAAAAAAATATTAACTGAATCACTATAATCATAGTTTACTTCTCACTGAAAATCATTTACATTTACAAAAGTGATTAAGCAAAAATATTTCACAGAAATAACTATTGCGTGCTCCAACTACTTTTCAGAATACATCGATAATGCGAACATTTTCATCTGCACTTTTATTCTAACCTTACACTCGAAAACAATAACAGTTCAATGCAACAACGTTAGTAGCGAGGGCAATAGCAACAACAACCATATTCCCATCAAATCCAAAAGCATTCGTAAGTTTCCAATACTTCCTTTCATTTGTAAGTATGAATATTAAAGGAGTATGAAAAATAACCACATCAAATTAAAACATGTATTAATGTTCTAACGCAGCCATGCCAACTGTCTTAACGCCATGAGTACACAATAACACTATTATAATACAAGAGCTGCAATATTACTACGGCAAAAACAAAAATTTTATCTTAATATCTTCCAAAAAAAAAGGAAAAGAAACCCATGACTAGAACAAAGTGCCGCACATTACACATATAGAAACAACTGGAAAAAATGTCTAAAAAAAAAGATTTTAAAATGAGGGGTTTTTTTCCGATGAAGCACTGCATACTCCAATGCAGCCAACACATAGGATAACCATGATAGAAAACATTACTGTCGAACCATTTTACCTAAACTACCAGAAAGTTAAGGTGACACTGCAAACCACTTGAAAACGAACATCTAGACGTCAAAAATACCCATGATACACTCATAATCTGTTAAATTCACGGTAAACATCAACCCTATCATCACTTTTGTTCACGGCTGGAAATCTGAATAAGACTTACAATGAGAATTATTTAAGAGCTGATTTTTGAGGAATCGCACTTCATCCAATCTTTTCGTAATCTGTAGTATATCGTAAAGTTATGGAGAACATGGAATTTCGAAAATCTTAACAAGTAAAGTGACATTTTGTTTGCTGAAATTCTACATGTTAGAAAACATCCCAAGTTCTGGAAAATACCACAAGATTACCTGAAACGATTCATTGGACAGGGCGCATAAGTCCGCCTTAATTTTGTTTATTTTTGCACTAATATCATTCAAATTATTTGTCAGTGAGCTTTCTTCTGCCACTAGCGTCCACATTTTCTTTAGCTGCAACACACAAAAAAATAATTGCGTTATGTTACTGTCCACCTATTTTTAGTGCACATTTCACTTAAAAACAGAATTATAACAACCTTAGCGTCATCGTTTGTCATATCAAAACCGTGGCCCTCTTGAACACTATCACTGCCACTTTTCCTTAAATCCTGCAACATCTCCGTCGTTTTAACAGTTTAAACAATATTAAGAACTCCTAGCTCATTAATCAAGAAATACTGACTACAAGAATCAATACCGACTACTTACAGCAACCATTTTCTCCAATTATCTTGTAAGCAGGAGTTGCTTAACCAGCTTCGCCCAACCTTTTGTTTTGTAAAACCAATTCCAGAACATCTTTAAAGTTTCAACACTCTCTTAACAGTATAACTGAATGTTAGAGCAATTTATGCATTCTAATCTACCAATTGTACAAGTGACATAGAACGCTACAAAATGATTTTGATACGAAAACTGATGTGGTGATGCACTTGAATCATCCATAACCATGGAGTCCTTACGCACAGAGTTATGAAAATAATATATCTACGGCTCGTTTAATAGTGCATACACAGCATTTAAGTAGTCATAAACCTAGAAGATTTTACCTTATGAAAAAAATTATGGGTACTGAGCCATTTAATGACGGAACACAAAAAAATCAAAAAAAGCATACCTGATTGGTACGAAAACAAGAGCCCACAGTTGTCTGAAGCAAAGCTTTTTTTACCAAAGATTCCACTTCTTTCGTCACTTCTATCTCTGCAGCATCTTTAGTGTCACTAATGAGCGATAATCTCTTCACTGCAAACAGTAATTTAGCATGCATAAAAAAAGTGATTCAGAATACGATTTTGACAATAAAAACTAATGTATGATTGCATATCTATCAAAAAACACTAAGAACTACTAAACAAACAGATATGAAACATACTCGACAATCAATTGATAACTCATTTTTGAAATAAGTATTAGCATGAAAAACTTTATTTCCATAACATATCGCATACCCGGTCTACATCAAGTACGAGGGAAGCGAAAGATCTGATTGAAAGCATACTAGTTTGAAATATCACACAGTCACCGCAGTAAGAAGAAAAACAAAAGTGTTTCGAAATCCAAAATTTAACAGATTACTATTTCCTCTTGTAAGACATGGGTAAAAAATAAAGCCCTGGCTGATAAACCACGTAATCTAAATTTGGATATGTAATTAATAATCTACCGCCACTTCTGTTGTCCATAACTTTCCCACTGTTTCTGTCAATGGCGGTAAGTGGTTGAGTTTCAGCTAACGAAGAGAATGGAATTTTCTTTGTGTCCTGAAAAAGTGAATTTAAATCATCGTTTCCAACTTAGCAAAGGACCATACAACGATGTCCCATTTTTACTGTGACCATCGACACACATCCCATTACCACAAAAGACTGGAAGTGATCACAATAAATGGAATAATTATAAGACAGCAATAACACAGAATGTTTCAGTTTTTTGGTTTAAAATTAGACGTTTAATTTCTTTGTCTTATAATTTCGCATGCTGTGTTAAGCGTAATTTCTATGTAAAGTATAAAATATCCATTAAGTAAATCAGTTACAGGGAAAATGAGACTTCTTTTTAGTAATATCCAACGCAACGAATAGCAACGTATAAATGAGCTTGAATTAACCCTTATGAGGCACAATTACATATCACACCGAAATAAATCCAGTTTACCTGTAAACCAATTTCGTGATTCAAATTTCTTTTTGAAGGCATGTTTTTCTCCACCAACGTCTTGCTCTCATTACTTTCGCATGAAGTTTCGCTTTGTTCGACTTTTTCCTCATTGAGATGATTAAAGAAGAGATCAAAAAAATCTGGAAAGATGGTGAATTTAACAAGAGAATATTGAGTAGTGAAAAAGAAATCGAAAAATAAACAGTGACATGAGAATGCAAGAAAATAATAAAAAGGAAAAGTTCTGCAAAATAAATAACATCAAAAAATTTGTAATGGAATTTTTGTTTCATAATTATTTTATTTGCTTGGCACGAGGTTATGCAAATACGAAATACTTTGAAGGCAGAGAGTACACAGTCTCCTCCAAGAAGCTTAACAATAATTTACAAACCAAAAGAAGTAACTTCATTAACTGAAAAACAAGTTAATTAAATTAATACACACTTTGATTAAATTTTGGCGGCGCTTCTTTGATCATCAGATAGGGAGCTGTTGGTGTTTGACTTGCTTCCGTTGTATTTGACCTTTCGCTGTTATGCGATTTCTGTTTTATTACACAGTACTTTTCCAAACGATCTTTCAACATTTTCTGACTTCTGTGTTTCAAAAATATGGATCTACTTTTCATCGCCAATTTTTCCCATCTAAATTATCTACGAAGTATTTTACTATATTAATCAAAACAAATTACCGCATTTACACGGCATTTATGCGACATGAAGTGACCGGTTAGCTCCGATTCCTTGGCAGTTTTCAATCCCATTTGGCTTTTGGAAAGAATGGGAGTTCGTAGTTTTCTCAATATAACTGTTAAACATGCTTCAATCGACCTTTTAAAAACTAATGAATCTAAGGTAACACAATATTTTGCATACTCAGAGTTACGGTTCAATGCTGCAGAGAGTCGCGATGAGCAGATAGCTCCGGGAAAACACTTATTTCTACTTCCAGTGGCTCCGTTGTTCGCAGTATGAGATGGTGTCGCAGAAATCGTCTTTCCCAACACTGCAACTTATATGCAAAAGAAAAATGTGAAGTGTTAATTAAACAGCTTGTGCAAATAACAAAACTGCACCATGTTCATCACCAATCGGAAGCAGAAAGTCAAGATATTCACAGAAGTTCAACAAAATCAAATCTACGCCAATGAGGTGAAGTAGCAAGAGACTGTTAGTTTAAGGAGATATATTTCGAAAGTTTCATGCCAATTAAGGAGACGAACTCATGGATTATCTTGTTAAGTTTATAAAGTCCAAATGAATCATCGGTGACTCACCTATGGATTAAACAAATAGAATGTGCAACTAGCATCGAGCATCTCATTTAACATACCTGAGCACTACTGGGTCTAGGGTCGAATTAAGCTCCCACCATCACATGTGTCGTACAAAATCACCAAATGCTGCCAATGATAAATGTGTATAAATAGAATAAAACAAGAAAAAAAAAAACCTTTCTTCTTCGAATCCACTTTCTTGTTCATCTTGATGGGTGGCCCCCCATCAGCTTTACCTTCAACTTTCCTTTTTTTGGATTCGATGAATAAGAAATGTGTAAGTTGGACTTTAGACTACATTCAGGTGTATTTAACTCCTTTTCACTGCACGAATCCTGCATGAAATTACTGTCGGATGCTAGTTTCGATATCAACGTTGTTTTCGTCGTTTCTGATACAGCTTTCTCCAATAATTCAGATGAACTCTTACTTCGAACGATTGTTCTGCAATCAAAAGTCGCTGCAAAAAGTGTACAAAATTTACTGCAGTCATCCTAGCCCAACTAATATTCTGCAGTGTGCAACATTTTAGAAAAACTGTCTGAAAGCTAAGTGAGCTTAAAATTTCATAGTTACAGTATTACGAAACAAAGGTTGAAAGCAAGGCGACGACCTGATAGAGGGCTTCAAATCTGTATCACTGCTGTTTCTTTTTACTGAACTAACAACTGACTCGCTTTTCTTCATGCACCGCTTATTAGGCACTTTGAACGAAAAACTGACACCCTGTACACAGCTCCGAGTCTGCTTAAAGTATTTAGGAACATGAACTAACATGGATGTGTCAAACTACACACACAATGATTAGCAAACTTGCAAACTGGACCCGTTAAGCAAATCAATTTACCATTAAGACAGGATTTCGAAAAGCGATTTAAGTACTAACACTTAAATATTACTGTTGTGAACTAGAGCGAAAACGAATACAGGTTCGTCGAAGGAAAGTTTTTAAAATCTCCCGAATTACCTTTTCAAACGAAGAGCGTTCAAAATTGTAGAGCTCCTTGACAGTGGGCTCAAAATAACGTTTTTCTATCATCGCTTGTCGACCTACTGGTCCTGAAGAAGTCATTCCACAGCAAGATCTCAGTTTCGATTTTTCACTGCAGAAAAAATCAATATGAATAATGACAAAATATCCTGAACTGCAAGAAGTGTAGATATTTAAGTTTCTTAAAAAGAGTGAAATCACAAATGACAAGCTTTATACCCAGAAAAGAAATAACTTGTTGCGATAGTAGATTTTGAAATTACTGTTGTTGTTGCTTCCTTTGCTAAAGCACGATTCCACGTGCGTTTCCGCTCCAAAGCACTCATTTGTTTGTGACTGCAATAAATACCTAGTAATTCCTGATTAAAAACAAAACCGTAGGCTGAGAACAGCAACTGCAAATACTCAAATTAAGTCTTTGCCACTAGCACATCTAACAACATACTAGATAAATTCTTCATTTAAACTTTCCTCACCAAACAGTAGTTGGGCATAACCGATGGCACTTATTAAAGAAAATTGTACAAAGCACTACTTATGCAGTCTGTTTCCAAGAATGTGTTATAAAGTTTGTTCAAATCTACATATGCATGAATTAATCACTTAATTTGTTGAATGCCTGGTAAACCAATGATTGTAACTTTAAAAATCATGAGTCACGAATGCTGAATAATAATATTCAAAATGAATCAAAAAAAATGAATTCAAAATGAGTTAGGAACTATATCAAATTCAAAAGCTTTTGCTACCACATGACCCATAACTTGACACCAGAAATAACAGAAAATACCGGAGTCCGCCCAACCCCACCGTTCCTTTGACAACGCTTCTCAGTGACACGAGCACACCGAATGGTGGATATTATCACATCACCTGTTTTGCGGGGGAAGCGCTGGTGAACGCGGCCCCATTACGATTATGGTTGTTGCCAAGGACATGGAAAGGAGTAGATTCTGCTGTTTTTTCGCAACTTCACGTAATGTGGAAACTCGGGGAATATTTGGAAGTGATCTTTCTCATTTGTCCTTATTCATCCATCACTACTTTTTTCTAAAAAGCAGTGGGCCAAGCATTATGTGTTCAATCATTTTCGGGCGTCTTAAAGGAATGGCAGGTCAAGAGTAAAGATAGCTGATTGCTACTTAACTTCGCAGTGGATGTACCATTTTGATATCATTAAAAGGAAATCGACTTTTTGTTTGAAAGAAAGACATCTTTTTGTTGAAGAGGACGAATTTTTGAAACCAAAAAGTTTTTTATAAACCGAATGACATGAGTAAAAGAAAAAAATATTTTTGGAACCTTCTATTCACTTCTGTTACCTCCCAATACATTCTGTCAGTAAAAGCTGAAATCGAAAACGAATCTCCATCTCTTCAATTAGTCAAGTGAAGGAATGCGCCATTTGATAACTTGCATAAATCTAAGTTTACAACACATCAATTTTTCTGCGGTGTGAAAATGGAAGTGAGAAAGTGAAATCCACGGGAACTGGCTACAAGGAGCGCTGTCAGTTATAGCACTCTCACTGAACAGTCGCGATGTTTTGTCTCCAGTGTTCTACCACGTCAAATGTTCTCTAAATGAAGAAAAAGTCGTCACCATCAACTTTGCAAAGACAACATTATGCTTTTCATTGCAAACCTAATTACCTTCGTTGTTTCCATCTTTAATGTCTAATAAGTAAGCGAATGGCACTCCTACCCAGGCGACACAAACTACCTCATATCGATGCTGTAAACTGTTGAACTTTGAGCAGTCCTGCATCAAACAATTAAGCCTGTTGGGAAGCAAAATCTTCCTGTGCCTTAAAAGACAGCAAAACATTTTTGTCCCTTTTTGACATTTACAAATATATTTGGTTCATTAAATATGCATATAATGCCGATTTATTTGCAGTTGGAAAAACCAAATGCGATTTCCCACGTTAGCAGCATTAAAAAACGATCACATTCGAGAACGAGGCAGATCTCGGATATTATGTTTACTTGTATCCACTCTTATATGCTTATATACGGCTTAAGCTTAAGTTCGTGCCTGTGAAGTCGATGTTTAGATTAACTGCTTGCTGTCACATATTTCAGAAGATCAGCAGATCAAATCACGCCATGAATGAACAAGTAACTAACATCTTAACACATCTTTCATTTAATTTACATTTCATTTAATTTACATTGCCGATTTATTATTATTTTCCATTCTGATGAAAACTCGTGTATTGATAAGAATAAATGCGGAATGATAATTGAAAGTTGGTCCAGTTGGTCCGGTATGACTTCCAAAACGACAAATAAAGCAGGGCATATTTGGAATTTGGATACTTTATTTAACATATTTAGATGGAGATGGAACGACACTTCGCAGAAGGTTTATGACGATTGCGAAGTGCATTTTCACTGGGTTTAGGGAATGTTTGCAGTACTTGGTCTGCTTGCGGAATTCTCCAATCGAATCATTCCTAACGCTTCCAATTCTGGGATCTAAAAAAAATTTGAGCATGAATTATTTATTTGGATATTTGACCCGTCTGTGTGAAAACATTCTAGTTCGAATGCAAAATATGCAATGTGCGCATTTTAGGATCATTAGAAAGTCTTTTAAAATTACTAAAAGATGTAAGGAAAAAAAGAAAGAACACTGTTATACTAACTATAGAATTCCATCTGGATTTGCTGTGCGCTGATTCTATAGTAAATCTGCTTCCGAAGCCCTTCACTATGGAGTTTAAAGTTGCTTAGACATTTAGGAGAGTATTACAATTTGGTACATACCATTACTTTCATCATGCAACACTTGTCGCCCCTGCAGCCGTGCATTTAGAAGCCATTTCCGATCAGCCATGTGCACGACAATATATGTGGTGATGCCAATAATATTATGCGTCTCATATTATTTTTATCTGCATTTCGTTAGGTCAACATACAGATTTTCTTCATTGAAATTTACATGCAATTCGTATGTGGTGGATGGAGGAAAAACGATTTTGGTTTGTTCTAGTAGATTGAATCTTAGAGTTCACTTTAGAGTCATTTTGGGCCAAGTAAACTAACTGAAACCTAAATGACTGACATGAAGTTTACTTTTTCCCAACTGAACCGAAAAAGTGCTTGCTAATTTTTCATACGTTCCAGATCAAGTTCCAGTTGCAATTACAAATTGACGGCTTCTTTATGTTTCAATATAATTTACTAACTTAACTGAGTCAATTCATCTCACTTAGTTTAATTGTAGTCCAGTTTGGCTCACAAAAAACAAATTAATGAAAATTTCCCAAATTCCCTTATTCTCATGTTCTTTCATTCGTGCAGCTATCATTGTTTGGTCCTTGATGAGCGATACTTGTTTAAAAGTGCTCAAACCGGACGGTAAGGATGTGCATTACGGCCACCTCGCTGTTGCACCAAAACTGGATTGCATCTGGACAGCGGATGGAAGATGAAGCGATAAAGAATTCCACATTTGATTTAGGGCTGGAAATCAATGAATAGCTGTTTCTTTGTCCCTAAAAAATCTCTGTTTTGACAGAAATCTAGCAGAAGTTCCTTGCACTAGATGGCTTCATCATTACCAAACGAAATCGTATTTGCTTGAGCGATTCCGCAGAACCTCCCACTTGTTCGTGTATAAGGCGCTGAATTGATTGCATATGTCCTAAGACATCAGTGTGTCAGTGCAGTTTACCGGTGATAGTTTCGATTGTTTCTGAACCTTTTGTTTATCCTTGCAAATAGCTTGTCATCTGCATTTTTTGTTTCATTTAAAGGAAATATATCTGATACTGGAAATATGACATCTCAAGTGTAGTTTGTAGTTTCTTAATTTTTACGTGCATTAGTTCTGGAAAAATTTTATTATATGGTCAAATCATTGAACTTTAACAGTGAAATTTGTTTCAATAGGTTTATACTACATCATTCTAAAGTACATCTATCTCAGTTGCTTTTCTCTTGCTCGAAACGGGAAAGCCAAAAAAAAAAATTTCCAGGGAAACGATGTACTGCATATTTATTTCTTGTAATAAATCCGTTACAGTAGAGAAATCTAGTCATAAAAACCAAAGTTGCCAATTTATCTTGGCAAGGATGTCCGTAAAGGTTTTAAAAAAAAGATGTTACATATATTGCTTCCACTAGCAAAATCGAGAAATCGACTAATGTCCTCTGAAAAACGTATGTTAAGAATTATGATCAACATCGGGTACTTAAGAGAGTTTTGTTTGCACCAGTTTCTAGCGTTCTATGAATTCGTGAATGAAAGCTTTTATTCACAAATACAAAAACGGACTTCGAAAAAAAAAGGAAAGTTTACTTCCCAAACGGAAAATAATATGTGACATTGATGATATAGACAGATAATGCGGGGTACTTTCAATCCCAAAACTGCGATCTTGTAATAAAAGTGTTTCAATTTTTAATATTGCATTATTGAGTCGTACAATTGCAAACACAATATGCAACAATCCTTTGTGCTTTGCTAAAAGAAATGCTTCATATCACGAATACTTCACTCCTCTTTTACCCTTTCCGCACTGCAGTCGAGAAAGTTAAGGCTCCAATAAAGTGGACAATACTTTTGGCATAAAAAGCATTATTAGTCTTACAGAGTAATATGTAGCATATGATTTCCTCACTTAGGCACAGCTACTGTCACAAGAATATCCCTGAGCAAACTTTGCATGGGAAATTCTTGGAAAGGAAGATCGATTTTCGACATTAATTTGAAATGCAGGAGGCTGTAATATTATGGCAAAGTTATGAGTTGTTTCAAAACCCTGAAAAATGAAATTATGCTAGTTAAGTGATGTAATTAACGTTTTGATAAATTCGTGGCAACTTTCCTTGATTTACTTGAAAGCAAAAAGTTGGAACAGTTTTTAAGGGATACACAATCCAGCGAAAATCATTCTTTATTAAATCCACAAGGCATCAGCTTCAGAGGGCGGCGAGAAATGTCAGTAGGCGGAGGAATAGAATGAAGAGGGATAAGACCAGTTTTGTAATCTGTATCCGCATGTATGAGTGCTTGCTGGAAGAAAGAACTGGGATAACACATGGAAACCTCATCATAAGGCATTACTTTAC